CCCCCGAATGGAGGCTTAAAACAATTGACCAACCCCCCTTCGGTGGGGTTAGTTTAGTGTCTCATTAAGTGTTTTAAATCTTGAGTAAGAAACTAAACTACCCCCCGAATTGGGGTTAAAACAACTGACCAACCCCCCGAAGGGGGGTTGGTCAGTTATTTTAACTGTTGTTGTTTTAAACACTTGGCAAATCCCCCGAAGGGGAGTTGGTCAAGTGTTCAAAAATCTTAAAATCTTAAGTAACATACTAAACTAACCCCCCCTTCGGGTTTAGTGTCTCATTCAAATGTTTTAACCCTTGGGTAGGAAACTAAACTAACCACCCCGAATGGGGGTTAAAACACTTGAGTAAGAAACTAAACTACCCCTCCCGCCAACAGTTCTTGTTCAGTCAACTTTTTACGTCCAGCCCCACCCTTGCAAATCTTCGTCTTAAAATCGATCATAAAGTCAGTTTTCATAATAGTTTTCGTAATCGTAATATATCGAATGAGTATCACTTTTTGGAGTTCGTACTTCAAATACTTGATAACGTCTTCTTTCACTTTTCTTAATTTCTTAAATACTTTTATCTCGCTGTTCGGTGGCGACGTGCTGCTTCTGGAGCAGTGATAATGCGACTGGCTTGGTACTGAAGCGTTATTTGTTTACTCGGCATTGTTGTGTTGTACTGCCGTGTATAAACAAATATAAGGTGACATTGTTGATGACGTCATTTTTTGACGACAAATTGGTTGACGACAACGACTAATCACAATTTTTTATAGTAGATTTTTATAGTAGACTAGAGCAGGTTGGTTGCGTTTTAAAATCTTGAGTAAAACACTAAACTAATCCCCTTCGGGGGGTTAATTTAGTGTCTTATTCAAGTGTTTTAACCCTTGAATGAGCTGTATGACTTGAATGAATTTTATTATTAGTATCAGATTACCTTTTTGGTGTTGGTAACGTCTTCTTTCACTTTTCTTCATTTCTTAAATAGTCTTATATCGCTGTTCGGAGGCGATGTGCTGCTTATGGAGCAGTGATAATGCGTCTGGCTTGGTAGTTGTTTATTTATTACGTTAGTTGTTTGATGACGTCATTTTTGACGACAACGGGGAATCAGAAATTTTTATAGTAGAGAAAGAAGAGATGTGTTGACATTTGAATTTTTGTTAAAATCTTACAACAATAACTGGAACTTTACATAAGGACCTAAATTCCTTACTGTGTTAGCAATTCCCAGGTTACTTCGGTTTTTTTATTTATCGGTTAAATAACGCTGCTTCGCCGTTTCTCTTTTACGTTTTTAAGCAATAGGCCCATATAATTGATTAGCTACTCATTTATTCATAATTTAATTTTTCATTACTTTCTTTCTACGCTACACCATTTTCACGCTGGATTGAAGTTATTAACTCGAGACAAAAGAAGCATGCAGCTCGCATCTGAGAGATAATATACATGTGTGTGTATGTGTATATATATATATATATATACACATACATACACACACACAGGATGAGTCAAAAGTATGTTTACAAACTTCTTGTGCTTGTTCCGAGATAAAAAATAAGAAAAAAATTACTATGAACATGGGGTCGCAAATGTTTCATTTTCGAAGTAATAGCCAAAAATAAGTTTCAATGAAAGGTTTTCAATTAACTTTTGAGCAGGAATTGTTGGCGACATGCTTATTGGTCCACACATGCTTCCATCGCGTCTAAGAGGAACTTCATATCGGTGATTCTTAGGAAGACACTTGCAACGTCTCCTTGAAGATGTACCACTGAATACAAGAGGACAAATATGGTTTATGCACGACGGAGCCGTCGAATCAGATATCATCTCAAAGAAAAGTACCCTCAGTGATGGATTGGGCGTGGTGGTCCAGTAGCATGGCCACCGAGGTCACCGAACCTGACTCCATTGAATTTTTATCTGTGAGGTCACTTGAAGTCCTTCGTTTATGCAGCACCCATAAGCAATGATGACGACCTATGGGAAAGTGTGCAGAATGCATGCCAGATGATTCGAGGAAACCCTGGTGTCAGTCTTGTGTACATCGTTCTCGTGCATGTGTGGAGAATGGAGGAATAACCTTTGAGCAACTGTAATAAAGAAACATCCATGTCCTTATACTTGGCAATAAAGGCATACATTGAAACTAATTTTTGGCTATTATTTTGAAAATGAAACTTTTGCGACCCCATATTCTTAGGAACATTTTTTTCTTATTCTTGATTTATATATATATATATATATACATATTTAATGTAACTCAAGATTTGTATTTTAATGAAGTCTGTGTCTTGAAATTGGAATATTTTTCAGTACAATTCCTTAAGGTTCATTTCAACAATATTCTCCCTATTCTCTGCAATGTGTACTCTTGTGAGAGTTGCATTATATAAACCAATAATTTTGTTCTCCTGTATACGCCATAATCTCTTTCGATGGGATTTCCCAACCAAAACTGTGTTTCGTCTGTAATGGAACCTCCATATATTCATACTGTCTCTTCTTAAATGTTTATAATATTTACATTGCATTATGAAACAGGTGAGACTTCACCCATATGTGAGGGAAAATGAGGTGTGCGGACCCGTTATTAAAGAGACGTTTAATTTTCTGCACGACTCACAAATTATGGTGAACGACAGAGAATTACGGACTCCGAAGATTGCATATCCGCGAATTCCTCATGACATTCTCTTTGTTATTGGAGGGTGGACAGCGGGAATTTTCACTGATGGGATTGAAACCTATGACATACTCGCAGATCAATGGATTAAGGTAAGTTCCACGCAATTGTGCCTTGTTAAATGATGTCTGCATAAAAATCTTTCTCTTTGCATATCTCTGCCACTTAATTAGTTTTCTTATTTCGTTAATATGTATTTAAACCTTGTTTGCAGATTTTTTGTATTAATTCCTTTCCATAACAGTGGTACGTTCATTTTAAATATGTTACAGTCAAGCAAATTAAACCGAATAAATAAATGAAGTAAACGTTTCTCGTATGTGTAGTATGTGTTGTTATCTGGGTCCATGAAATAAGTTCTGTTCGCCACTTACAATATTTACCATAAACGGCCTAAGTGAAATGCTGTCTGGTGAGTTTGGACATTAATCGGAATTGTTGTTGTCCATCAGTGTAGATTTCAACATTCTAAATTACGCAAGTACTGAGCAGCGAGAATGTTGGTTATTTGCGTGTTAACGCCGTGTGAATTAGTACGTTGATTCTATTCCATTCCGCTGCCAGCAGCCTCGCGTCGTTAAAACCCTTATACTGAAAGCTGTCCTCATCGCCGTGAGAGCCTCGAATGTCATAAACGTATAACATATTCCACTTTCTTCCGAGAGCAGAAACATAACTGGAACAGAACAGCAGTAGATCAGTTACTTAGTTGCAATTGCACCGAAGCTTCAAATTCATTTCTTTCCCATAGTTGTCGAGAATCTTAGGTAAAAACTTAACCAAGAGCAAACAAACAAAACATAATATTCCAGTAATCTGTCGTTGTCGTTGTAGATGGAGGAGTGCAACACGATCGGACCGCGAACTTACCATGGCACGGCAGTAGTCGGTTTCAACATTTACGTCATCGGTGGTTATGACGGGCGTTACTTCTTGAACTCAGTCCTCTGTTTCAACGCTTTTACAAAGACATGGCGTGAGGTGACGCCCATGAATGCCCGCAGGTAAGACACAACTAGTAAGCTAACGAAGTCCGTCCTTCTTGAAAAACTGATAGTTGCTCTGCTATTCAAGAAATATAAGTGTACAATGGCTATAACCTTTACCGCTCACATACAGGAACAAGTAGCGTAAATAAATGCACTTACATCAAAAATGGTCTCCATTAAAACTCGGAATAGAAGCCAGTTAATAATTTCGTTCTTAGTTTCTCCAGGTTTTGAATATTAGATTTCCTTGCGAACTCATTTCAATTACACATTGAATTTGAATTACTCATTTGATTCAACGGTAGATAATGCAGGGTGATTTTCTGGGAAAGAAAATCTATTTGTGTGCGCAATAAATGAGCATCAAAGCCAGAGGGACCTGAAGCCTGGTGAAGACTGCACTTATTTCGTTTCAGAAGCTACGTCAATGTGGCAGTGCTCATGGATCTGGTGTACGCTGTTGGTGGCTATGATGGCTCTTGTCGACATAAAACGGCTGAACGATACAACTACAGGACGAACGAGTGGTCAATGATCGCTTCTATGAACACTGAGCGATCCGATGCAAGTGTGGCTGTGCTCAATGGTAGTGACTCTTGTGAAATACAACCGCGTAAATTAATGAATAATGGCAAGGCATCGTGTTTAGGAGTAATCAGAAGTGACAAGGGAATATTTCGTTTGATCAGGTCGAAACCTCACCTGAAGTTTTGCTCGTCTACAGAGCCCATCTAGTAATGATTGTACACAAAATTTCAACTGCTGATACGCTATGCAAGGGTGCGAAAAAAATGCTCAAATTTGGAGAGTTTGGTTAAAATTCCCGTCACTGGGCATGCGCGTGACAGCAGCGCGTCAAAGCAATAGCGAGCGCGGTATTCACCGGTATATTGCAGCGGAGAGCGGCAGCGAAAGACTTGAGAAATCTCTCTCTCTCTCTCACACACATACACACGTATTTTATTGAATAATTAAGTACATAGGAACTATCAGTATGTATATAATACGCAGGTGTTTTATATGTAAGATTTGAGGTTTTCACAGCGGTGAGTGTAAAGATTTCTGTCTTCTGGGTTGTTGCGCCGTGTAATCTGGTTGATGTTTACCAACGTTTCAGAGGTCATACTGCCTCCGTCATCAGAGTATGAAGATTTCTGTCTTCTGGGTTGTTGCGCTGTGTAGTCTGGTTGATGTTTACCAACGTTTC